GGAGAAGGCGCGCTGATCTCGGGGCTCGCGGCTCAGTCCCCACCAGGCCGCGGTCGCCCCCACGGCCAGCCAGGCCAGCGCCGCCGCCGCCGGCACCAGGTACAGGAAGAGGCCGAGCAGCGACAGGCCGAGGAGCGCCGCGCCCCCGCCACCCCAGCCCCGGGCCCGACAGTCCCTGACACTCGCGATGGGCCGCCGCCGCTCGCCTCCTCCAGGCGCCGCAGCCGCCGGAGACATCGCGGCTCCGCGCCGCGGAGAAGACTTAAATATCCCAGCGTGCACCGCGCCGCGCGTACGTCACTGGGGGCGCCGGGCGCGTCACTGCAGACGCGACGTGGACGCGAGACCGGGAGGGGAGACGCTACTGCCGGGCCACGCGGTAGACCCGACCCCATTGGAAAAATGCGGCTTCCCGGGGAACTGGGTTCTGATCCTCCAGGCCTCCTGGCAAGTCCGCCCGCACACGCCCATCCAGAGGGAGCCTGTGAAGAATCGGTTAAACATAAACGCCCCGGACCGCGACTGTGCACGCAATGCCTCCTCCGCGGTGTCTTCCCGGGGGCTGACCTCTCCAGAGGAGGTTATCGGGCACTTTTCACAATTGCGACAAGTGGGAGGTTTTTCCAGGGGCCCTATTTCCTGCCAGAGTATCAACAGCTTCAGAGGGCTTACTTCAGCAGAAACGGTGAAAAGTCAGGCCAACCCAAACCAACCTCCAGTGTTCAATGTGGATCTAGTTTTAACAAAATCCCTATCAAGTCGTCTGAGAAACGGCAGATCCAACCTGGAGCTACGGGGTAAGTTTAGGTTCTGCAGGACCAGCTGGTAAAGTGGCACAGTTATCGACCAAATTTCACATCAAGGTCCAGAGTCGATGTTGAAGGTTTGTGACCAATCCGCCCATGTTACATTTGGTGATCTGAGAAAATAGATTGGTGGTTGTCTGGGGCTGGGGAGTGTGCTGTTTGGTGGGGAAATGGAGAGTAGCGGCTAAAGGGTAGAGTTTTCTTTTGGGGGGAAACCAAGTGTTTTAGAATTAGGTTAAACTGATTGCTTCACAACTCTGAATTGTATCTTAATAAAACTGTTCAACAAACAAACTTGGTGGTCTGCCAATTGAGACTTTAGCTCAGCTTATTCATTGGTATACATTAAAAACATTAATGGAGAAAAGACAGGTTCTCTGATCTCCAGAAGCCCTCTAAGATGCAACGTGGTGTGATAATAGAGGCACAAAAAGAGAAGGAATGATAAAGGGTAAGATGGGCTGGGAGGTGCTACTTGAGCTGAGAAAACTGGTTAATGTTGGTTCAAGGCAGATGAAAGAACATGGCACAGAAGCACAGAGATGGCAAGTACTGTGATACAAGATTCTCCAAGTAGATCAGTGTGGATGGAGATTAGGATGTTTGGGGGAATAGGGAGGTTGGAAGGATAGACAGGGCTCAGTAACCATGCATCTGGAGCAACTTGGAGAGATGAGAAAAGCAAGCAATTCTCCTCCTCCCGAACTCACTGCCAGGGCAATTCTGCTTCTTCTTTGAAAAGGGGATGGGCTGTGTAGCTTAAAACCACAGTGAGATATTGTCTCACATCCATTAGAATGCCTAATATTAAAAACACACAAGTGAGAGGAGAAAGAGGAGGAGGGAGCGAAGGAAGGGGTGATGTGAGCTGGGAAAGGGGTTAAACAAGAAGAAAAAAATGAAAAATAAAGAAAAAAAAAACCACACACAAGTGTTTGTGAGATATGGAGAAATTAGAATCCTTGTGCACTGATGGTAGGATTGTAAAATGTTGCAAGTGCTACAGAAAATAGTATGGAGTTTCCTCAGTTAAAAATAGAACTACCATATATCCAGCAATTCACTTCTGGATATATATATGTATGAAGGAATGAAATCACTATCTTGAAGAGATAGTTGCATCTCCGTGTTCATTGCCATATTATTCACAATACCAAGACATGCAAACAATCTTAGTGTCTATCAATAGATAAATGGATAAAGAAAATGTGGAAGGTATACACAATGAAATTCAGCCATAAAGAAAATCCTGCCTTTTTGACAACATGGATGGACCTTGAGGGAATTATGCAAAGTGAAATAAGTCAAACAGAGAAAGACAGATACTGTATGTTCTCACTTATATGTGAAATCTAAAAAAGCCAAACTCATAGAAATAGAGAGTAGAGTGGTAGTTGTCAGGGGCTGAGGGAAATGGAGAGATGTTGGTCAAAGGGTACAAACTTCCAGCTTTAAGATGAATGACTTCTGGGGACTGAATGTACATAATGTGACTATAACTAACAGTACTGTATTATATACTTGAAAGTGAAGAGAATCGATCTTATATGTTATCAGCACACAGAGACACACAAATGGTAATTATGTGAGGAAATGGAAGTGTTACCTAACCTTATTGTGATAATTCCATAATATATATATGTATCAAGACACGTTATAAACCTTAAATTTACATGTTATCTTTATATATAAAAGGCTAACATGCAGAGTGTTCCCTTGGGAATTTGACCAGGAAACCGGGAGTTCGATCACTTGCTATGACATGCGCTGACCACCAGGGGGTGGCGTGGAATGAAGGAAAGCCCCAGTTGGCAGCCGGAAGGTCCCGATCATTGCCGGCCAGGCCTAGGGACCCTACCTGTGCACGAATTTCGTGCACCGGGCCTCTAGTGTATCAATATCTCAATAAAGCCAGGGGGAAATCAGAGTGTAGTGTATGGCTTATATCATGTGTAAAACTAAAACATAACAACAGAAGAACACAACAACAGAAGGGTTGGGCAAAAGTAGGTTTATAGTTTGTATGGAAAATAATACAGTAATTAATAAATAATAATACAAGAATAAACTGTGTTTTGTGTACTCACAACTGAAAGCCTACTCTTGCCCCACCGGTATTATAAAATTCTTATGCCACATATAATGTGCCTACTATTACTTGAAGGTAGACTCTGATGAGTTAAAGATGTATACTATAAACTTTAAAGTAATCACTAAAATAACAAAACAAAGACATAGTAAGTCAACAAAGGAGACAATGGAATAACAAAAAGTACTGGATTAATATAAAAGAATGCAGAATAAGAGGAACAAAGAATAAATACAAAATAAATAGTAAGATGATGAAAGTAAACCTAAAATGTTAATAACATTAAAAGTTAATGATCTTGGCTGGAGGAGGTAAATGGGGGAGAAAAGGGGACATCTATTGTTG